CCTCCCCAGGCCATTTATTTCCCCTTCTTCCCTCCCATCCCTTCTCCTCTCCCCATTCCCTCCCCAAATTCAAACCACTTGCACTTCTCTCTTGCTGTCCCTTCCCCTTTTCTCCCCGCCTATTCCCTCCACAAGCCATATCTCGCCCCTTCCCCTTTTCCCCCCTTCACATTCCCTCCAATTCCCTTCTTTCTCCCCTCCCCTTCCCCCTCTTTCTCCCCTCCCATTCCCTCCCCTTCCCCTCTTTCTCCCCTCCCATTCCCTCCCCTTCCCCTTCTTCCTCCTCTTCCATTCCCTCCCCTTCCCCTCTTCCTCCTCTCCCATTTCCTCCCCTTCCCCTCTTCCTCCTCTCCCATTCCCTTCCCCTTCCCCGTCCCTTGCCCTTTTCCCTTCCCCCCCCTTCCACCTGGGGGCTGCCACATACCCTCACACGGACAGCATAATTGGTCCGTCACTTCCAACAATAGTTTGGTCCGCCTTATGTTACCAGCGCCACTTCAGAGCCTCAGCCTCGGCTCGGAATCGCCAAGCCGGAATAAGGGGGGTGAAGAGAAGAAGGAGGAGGAGGAGGAGGAGGAGGAGGAGGAGGAGGAGGAGGAGGAGGAAGAAGATGAAAAGAGAAGGAGCTAGAGGATGGGGTAAGGGGAAGGAGAAGGAGGAGGGGAGAAGAAGAAGAAGGAAGAGGACGACGAAGAGGAGGAAGAACAGGAGGAAAAGGAGGAGGAGGAGGAAGAAGAAGAGAGAGAGAGAGAGAGAGAGAGAGAGAGAGAGAGAGAGAGAGAGAGAGAGAGAGAGAGAGAGAGAGAGAGATGAGGAGGAGGAGAAGAAAAAGAAGAAAGAAAAAGGTGATAATGAGGAAGCGAAGGGGGAGACGGAGAGAAAGAGATGGAGGAGAAGGAGAAAGAGCAGAAGGAGGAAAAATGCAGAATAGAAAGAAAAATAAAGGCAAATCGGAAAAAAAAGACAGGAAAATGCGAAAAAAATGTGAAAAGACGAACAAAGAATGAATATAACGCTAAAAAAAAACAATAATTAACACACATAATACTAATACTTAGTCAAACCCCTTATAACACACAGTTCACACCCGCCATGACGATAGGCGCCCATGCTAAAAATAATTCGCAAAAAAACATACATTTATCCTAAGCTTTTTCGAAACTTTAACGCAATACCCGAGTGTCTTGCGAAGGAGGGAAATTGAACGCGGTCTAAATTCGCAACAGATCTTCCTTAAGGCTTCGAAAGGAGGAGAAAGACGTGGAAGGGAAGCGAGTCGGATAAAAGCGGAAGAGGGGAGAGCTGAAGAGGGACACGCATACACACATGCATGTACACACATACAAACACATACACACACACACACACACAAACACACATATACATAAAGAGAGAGAGCGCGATAGAGAGAGAGAGAGAGAGAGAGAGAGAGAGAGAGAGAGAGAGAGAGAGAGAGAGAGAGAGAGAGAGAGAGAGAGAGAGAGAGAGAGAGAGAAGAAAAAAGAAGAGAAAAGAAGAGAAAAGAAGAGAAAAGAAGAGAAAAGAATAAAAAGGAATAAAAAAGAAAAGAAAAGAAAAGAAAAGAAAAGAAGAGAAGAGAGAAAAGTGAAAGAGAAGAAAGGCCATACAAAAAAAGGTTAATTATCAGAAGAATACATGTAGACTCACACAAACTCCGATAAAGACCGACGAGAGAAATCTTAGAGACCAAAGACAACCAGACAAGAAGAGATAATTTTGCAAAGACATAAGACATGAAATGAATAAAAAGCCGTGAGCTTCCAGCCCAAACCATAATAAGATAACACCGACGACTCATGAAGCGACGAAACAAAATAAACAAAAACAAAAAACACAAACACACAAAAAAGACGCACAACAAATAACGAAATGAAAGAAAAAGAGGTTCCACGCTCCCTCTCTTTATCCTTCCCTCCCCCTCCCCTCTCCCCTTCTTCAAAAAAAAACAAAAAAAAACATCGTCGTTGGGCAGAGAACTAACATTGTCACTAACACAAAGAAAACATCCGCGCAGCCAGGCATTACGTATACACTGTCACCACCATAAAGGGCTTAGCAGTGTAGAAGGACGGCCGCTGTATGCAGTTGCCAACCTTGAAGACACGATATGAGGAACGTCAGCCCGGAGAGAAATACGGCCGATAAGACGACTGGGGAAATACGGCCGGTACGGAGATTGGGGAAATACGGCCGGTACGGAGGCTGGGGAAATGCGGCCGATAAGACGACTGGGGAAATACGGCCTCTACGGAGATTGGGGAAATACGGCCGGTACGGCGACTGGGAAATACGGCCGGTACGGAGGCTGGAGAAATACGGCCGATAAGACGACTCGGGAAATACGGCCTGTACGGAGATTGGGGAAATACGGCCGGTACGGAGACTGGGGAAATACAACCGATAAAACGACAAGGGAAACAGAGTCAGTGCGAAGGCGGCTGAGCACCTGTCGGGGCGCAGAACTCTCTCGGGCACTCACCAGGGATGAACCCCCCTCCGTGGGCGGCGGCGGCGGCAGCGGCCTCATCCGTGGGCGGCGGCGGCTGGGCTGCGGGCGGTCCGGGCGGCTGGCTGGCTGGAGTCGGCTCTGGGGCGCCGAGGAGGGACAGCTCGGCGGCGGCGGAGGCGCTGAGGCCGGCGGCGCGGGCCAACACGGCTGGGGGGGGAGAAGGGCCAGTTAGGACACGGGCTTCATGGGACATCGGCGTGTGCAAGAGCGACGCCGAAAGAGAACTTGGAACGGATTATAAGCACATAAAAAGTAAATTAAAAAAAGGAACACAAGAACAATAAAGTAAAATGAGTGCAAAAAGGCACCACAAGCTGATGACATTAACTACAAAGATAATGATAATAAAATAGCAATGATTCTGATAGGAACAATACCGTTATCAGAAAAAGTAAATAAACAAATAAAAATTAAATAAATACATGCATCCACCACTTTCCTTTAAACAGCAAGTTATATGTATATGTATATGTATATGTATATGTATATGTATATGTATATGTATATGTATATGTATATGTATATGTATATGTATATGTATATGTATATGTATATGTATATGTATATGTATATGTATATGTATATGTATATGTATATGTATATGTATATGTATATGTATATGTATATGTATATGTATATGTATATGTATATGTATATGTATATGTATATGTATATGTATATGTATATGTATATGTATATGTATATGTATATGTATATGTATATGTATATGTATATGTATATGTATATGTATATGTATATGTATATGTATATGTATATGTATATGTATATGTATATGTATATGTATATGTATATGTATATGTATATGTATATGTATATGTATATGTATATGTATATGTATATGTATATGTATATGTATATGTATATGTATATGTATATGTATATGTATATGTATATGTATATGTATATGTATATGTATATGTATATGTATATGTATATGTATATGTATATGTATATGTATATGTATATGTATATGTATATGTATATGTATATGTATATGTATATGTATATGTATATGTATATGTATATGTATATGTATATGTATATGTATATGTATATGTATATGTATATGTATATGTATATGTATATGTATATGTATATGTATATGTATATGTATATGTATATGTATATGTATATGTATATGTATATGTATATGTATATGTATATGTATATGTATATGTATATGTATATGTATATGTATATGTATATGTATATGTATATGTATATGTATATGTATATGTATATGTATATGTATATGTATATGTATATGTATATGTATATGTATATGTATATGTATATGTATATGTATATGTATATGTATATGTATATGTATATGTATATGTATATGTATATGTATATGTATATGTATATGTATATGTATATGTATATGTATATGTATATGTATATGTATATGTATATGTATATGTATATGTATATGTATATGTATATGTATATGTATATGTATATGTATATGTATATGTATATGTATATGTATATGTATATGTATATGTATATGTATATGTATATGTATATGTATATGTATATGTATATGTATATGTATATGTATATGTATATGTATATGTATATGTATATGTATATGTATATGTATATGTATATGTATATGTATATGTATATGTATATGTATATGTATATGTATATGTATATGTATATGTATATGTATATGTATATGTATATGTATATGTATATGTATATGTATATGTATATGTATATGTATATGTATATGTATATGTATATGTATATGTATATGTATATGTATATGTATATGTATATGTATATGTATATGTATATGTATATGTATATGTATATGTATATGTATATGTATATGTATATGTATATGTATATGTATATGTATATGTATATGTATATGTATATGTATATGTATATGTATATGTATATGTATATGTATATGTATATGTATATGTATATGTATATGTATATGTATATGTATATGTATATGTATATGTATATGTATATGTATATGTATATGTATATGTATATGTATATGTATATGTATATGTATATGTATATGTATATGTATATGTATATGTATATGTATATGTATATGTATATGTATATGTATATGTATATGTATATGTATATGTATATGTATATGTATATGTATATGTATATGTATATGTATATGTATATGTATATGTATATGTATATGTATATGTATATGTATATGTATATGTATATGTATATGTATATGTATATGTATATGTATATGTATATGTATATGTATATGTATATGTATATGTATATGTATATGTATATGTATATGTATATGTATATGTATATGTATATGTATATGTATATGTATATGTATATGTATATGTATATGTATATGTATATGTATATGTATATGTATATGTATATGTATATGTATATGTATATGTATATGTATATGTATATGTATATGTATATGTATATG